ATAGATATGCAGACATTGAGCCAATTTGTGAGACAATTATTTTTATATAAAATGTTTTGCGTTTAATACTGTTGTTATTGATTACAACCTATTATATTAATATTGTCATAATTTATTATCGATTCTTTTGATTTTATTCATTCAAAATGAGACCAATTCATTAATTTTGAGATAAAACAGTGAATGAGACCAAAAATATAAATTATATTTATTACATATATTTTTATTATAATGAAATTATTGTAGTTTTGCTAGTTTTCACAATATGAATAACGAAATATAACATAATTTTAATAAACTAATAATTTAGTGAAACAAATAAAATAAATACACAAATATGTCATTACATCAACCATGATGATTTAATGTTAATTTAATTGCTTTAAAATTGCTCCTATTTAAAATTCAATTCTTATATAAGTATTGGTTTTATTAATTATGAATAATAAAAATTTTGCTAAAGTTTTTAAATATTGAATTAATAAGGTATTAAGGAATTTTATAAAACATATATTTAGTTGTATGGACACGACTCGCATCTCTTACTTGTAATCACGTCTCTGTCATAAATAAATTTATATTCAAATCCTTGAAATTATAAATTTTATTTAAACAGATCTTTGGATGTTTTCTGAGTATTATAAAAGGTTTTTTATTTAAAGCCCCGGTGTTTGCATTGTAATGATTAAAATATTCTCATTATTAAATACCTATAAAAATGGACTTCAATTATAGTTTTTCAACAAAACTTACTACAATAGTATATTAATAGCAATTGGCAAAAATCATTCATTTTATACATTAATAATAAAATGAAATTACAAAAAATATTTTATATATAGGAAGACCTTAAGAGAAATCACTAATTAATTAAATGCATTGAATGGGTGGCTCTGGGATGAGTACAGACCCTGGAAATGTCATCGATTACTAAATCCTATTGAGATTTATAATGAAAAAATATACATTTTTTAAATTAAACTCTACAATAATAGTCTGGCATTTATAGATGAGTTACCAGAAGTGGCTCTCCCGTGAAGCTAAAGCCTTGAAGTGAATAGAGTTTGTGTTGAATTTGTTTTAATTGTATTACAAGTTTTGCAACAAAAGGCAAAAACACATACTTTTTAATATGCATTTAGAAGATGTTTGCCTTTACTTTTGTAAAGTGTTGTTCCGCCCCTTAAATGATCACTAATTGCATTATATGTTTGATAACCGCAATCCTATGGTCAACATAATTACAGTACACATGTATTATAACATTGAAAGTCGATACATGTCTTTAATTTTTGTTTATTTGTCTTAATTTGTTTTATTATTATATAAACACTAGAATTCTTGAATAATCTTATTATTTATACACATTTTTGAATTGTTTTTTATGGTGAAAAACAATCCACAAAAACAAGATTTAATTAAAGAGATGATAAGATTTTCACGATTTATGCGTTTGAAAAGTAAAATGCAATGAATTACTGATTATTTATAAACTTATTATTATTCAAATTTAATAATTTTTATAATCAAAAAGGTTTGATAAACATTTATAATTACAAAATATGTTATTCTTATTCATTTATAAATATTTTTATAAAATATTAAATTACAATAAAACTATGGTAATTATCAAATATAAATATTTTACAGACAAAAATGTTAAAAATGCACTTAAATTGAGCTTTAAATCAAAATTTCATAAATATTTTGGCAGAAATACAGATATTTTTTGTTATATAAAAGTATATAATGTATTAAATACCTAAAATTCGTTCAAAATCTAAACAAATAAGCAAACAATTAAAACACAAATAATTTGTTTAGATCTTTGTCATAAACAATGGGGGTGAAATGAGGGTAATTATAATCAACTGTCGTCTCTGAGAAATATTTCTGGCGCTCTATTCATCATAATTTGTTTCGTAAAACTGGTTGTATTTGTTTCCAACCCATTGTCTATATTTGCCATAAGAAGTTGTTTCTGTTTGTCGGCGCTATTTGTGGGCACCGATTGGCGAGCGATGTCTAACTGGCACTGAATGATAGCCACGTCCAGCGGTACGACACGATTGGTGTTCTTCTTTGAAACCAATAGTTTTGGCAATAAATTAGCAAATGTTTTGCGAAATGTGATGATTGGGTTGACGGCTGAGTTGGCCGAAGCAAATACCTATTTCATTCAATTATCACACATTGATTATGAGTTAATTTTCTAATTAAAATTACATCAGTTTTGGTATTACCTGAGCTACAAAACAACCATCAATATACCAATATGGTAATTCCTGTTAGTGAAACAATGAGTGTAAAAAACAAAGTTTGTGTCATTAAAAATTATTGCTAAAAACAGGGCAAACATACAGCTGTGGGTGATTTAAAGCGCCGGTACATCACTACCACTTGCAATGGAAACCAACAAATAATTGTCGTTAATATATAGATGAAGAGCATCCGAATGAGGACACGGCTATATTTCAAGCGCACCGGTATATCGTTGATTGCGGTCATCCTCTCGTACCGATCCATATGTTTTATGATCACTGAATAGACAATAATCATTACAATGAGGGGGAAGTATACGAGAGGAAGCATTAGGAAAATCCAATAGTATTTCGATGTCTCCGCGCTATCCTCTGCACACCATATCTGGTGATCGCAAAACAAATCCACAAAAGTTGTTAATTAAATATATTAAACCACTCGTGTCTTAGTATATCATACCTCCAGATAGTCTAACCATTGCCTCTCGCGATACAATCGCCAATAGGCCAGAGGACTGGACAGTATGATAGCCAACGACCAAATGGCAAATATGATTAAATATGAGGCCCTCTTATTTAGGTGTCGTTTGAATGGATACGCGATTGCAATGAAACGGTCGACGGATATGATAACCAACGATAAAACGCTCGCCAATAGACATAACACTGTTAAGTATATGGCGTAATCCGTGGGAAATTATTACATAGTTTTATCATTGTACATTTTAAAGTAATAAATCATGTTAATTTCTATACTTTTGATAAAGCCCTCTAATTTACAGAAAACGGGTCCCAAAACATAATTCTGATGGATTACGTCCACGAGTGCCATCCACGGACAGAACCTATACATTGCATATTATAAATTAATATACATCTAATAATTGTATAATGATTATTTTATAGTATACAGAGTGGTGAGCAAATCGGCGATTGCCATATTGAGTATGAATAGATTGATATGTGTTTTACGCAATGATTTGAGTTTTAAAATGAGACAAATGATGGCCAGATTGCCAAATATGCCGATTAT